CTGGGGAGCTGCCAGCCTGGTCCCAGGAAGAGGTGGAGGGCTGGGTGGCAGTGGGTGGCTGGCTCATGCCGTGCCTGGTGTAGGGTCTGCTGGCTGGGTGCTGGCAGGCTTACACCTGGCATGGGCACCGTAACCAGACCGTGGCCCTTTAAGGGCTCCAGGGCCAAGAGGGGGGCAGAAGAGTTTCCCTGGCTTGGCTCAGAGTGGCCACCAGGGCAAGCTGGGAAGGGCTAGCCTCCCACTAGTTCAAATTAAGTAGCTACACGGCCCTTAATTCGAACTACTTAATTCGAACTAGGCGTTAGTCCTCGTAGAATGAGGTTTACCTAGTTCGAATTAAGTGCTCCACTAGTTCGAATTATGTTCGAACTAGCGGTTTGCCTGTGTAGCGCTTATGAAAGTTAATTCGAACTAACGGCTGTGAGTTCGAATTAACTTTGTAGTGTAGACATACCCTTAGACACTTAACTCCCACTGAGATCAATTACAAATGAGTAGACATGGCTTAATCCTTCTGTTAGGATTTCAAAAAATATCAGGAGCTACAATCTCACTGCTTTGTAAATAGGTACCGTTTAGAGACTGGTTCATAGAATGAAATCAGTCAATCAACCTGAGTGGTCCTGGGTGAGGGAATTTTCTGGACCAGAGAAGGTCCCCTGCTACTGCCTCCCCTCAGCCTGTTGCCCCTCCCTGCCGCCAGCTTCTTCGGCCACGCTGCCAGTGGGTGAAATGGCTGCCTGGGCCCCAGTGCCGGAACTGCTGCCCCAATCCCACATCTGGCCCTGCTGCTGTGGCAACAGTCCTGCTGGTGGGTGGCATGTAGCCCTTGCTGAGCTGCCCTGGTTCCAGCCACATTGTCATGGCAGCACTAGCTCCACTGCCAGCCAACACGCAGTCCTGATTGGGTTGCTGGCCTGCCTTGGCCCCAGCTAGGTTGCCGTGGCCCGGCCTTACTGCCAGCCAGGCTTCCATGGCTCTGCCCCTGCTCCCAGGTCAACACACCACCCTGATTGAGCTACCGTGGCACAAAGCCTAGCTGCTGGACTAGCACGCATGGGCTGCTCCGGCCGCAGCTGGGTTGCCAGGCGGCCCTTGTCCCGCTACCACAGCCCCTGCTACCACCGCCGGGCTGCTGAGGTCCTGATCCCACTACCACCAGCCTCACTATGCATGGGGTGCTCAGCTGCTGGCCCTCCTGTCCAGGGGCTCTCTTGTTCAGGAACATCTGGGCTACGTCTACACTGGCCCCTTTTCCGAAAGGGGCATGCTAATCTTAAACTTCAGAATAGGGAAATCCGTGGGGGATTTAAATATCCCCCGCGGGATTTAAATAAAGATGTCCGCCGCTTTTTTCCGGCTTGTAGATAAGCCGGAAAAAAGCGTCTAGACTGGCCCGATCCTCCGGAATAAAGCCCTATTCCGAGGATCTCTTATTCCACAAGCCGGAAAAAAGCGGCGGACATCTTTATTTAAATCCCGCGGGGGATATTTAAATCCCCCACGGATTTCCCTATTCTGAAGTTTAAGATTAGCATGTCCCTTTCGGAAAAGGGGCCAGTGTAGACGTAGCCCTGTGGTCCTTTCAGACCATGGATATTGCAGTACAAGTGAGTCCCAGTTTTGGGAGTACCTAAGCCACTGTATACTAAGTCATTGTCTCCTAAGTGACACCTGATCATATAAAATAGAATCACCACTGACATCAAATAAAACCGCTTGGACTATCAGAAATTCCACCAGAACTGAAGAGCCAGGAACAAAAAAGATGAGTAGAGCAGTAATGATGAGGGAAATATTCCATATTCCACCCAGCCTGTAATTTCTGTTGTATGTGTTATGTGGCAAAGTGGCAGAGAGACATTAGATTAAACTACTTCGCACAGTACGCCTCATCTGTTGGCTGGATTTATTGTGTGGACATTCTGTAAACTAGGGATGTGAATTGGAAACCAGTTAACCGGTCACTTGGTAAGCATCAGATGCTTATAGCACATTTTTATTAGCCTCATTTAGCAGGGACACTTTAATTAACAGGGTTTTTTTCCTCCTTCCTTTCGTCTGCTTTATGCCTCCGGGCTTCCACACCCTCTATGCCTCTTGCTCCTTATCTGCCATCTGAAGAAATGGATTGTGCCCACAAAAGCTCATTAGTAATAGAGAGGTAGCTGTGTTAGTCTGGTCTTGCTAAAACAAAAGGAAAAACTTGGTAGCACTTTAAAGACTAAGAAGATGGTTTAATAGGTGATGAGCTTTCATGGGTCAGACCCACTTCCTCAGATCATATTCTGGAAGAGAATTGGCATAACCATATATACCAAAGGAATGCAATGAAAAAAGTGAACACAGTATTAAACTGACAAACCAGATTTAGTACAGAAGGTGAGGTGAGGGGAAGGGAGGGAGGGAATAGCTATTTGAGTCAATGAATGGCTAATCAAGGATGATAAGTGGGAAGCTATCTTTGTAATGGTTAAGGTAATTAACATATTTGTTAAGGCCCATTTGTAAAGTGTCAAATGTAAGCATGAAAGAAAGTTCTGAAGTTTCCCTCTGTAATCTGGTGTTAAAGTCTCTTTGAAGTAAGATGCATGTAATAAGGTCCTTAAGACTATGTCCAGGCAGGTTGAAATGAAAAGAAACTGGTTTTTCCTTGTGAAGATGTCTGATTTGTGGGCATTAATTCTTTGGCGAAGTGTCTGAGAAGGCTGTCCAATATACATAGCAGAAGGACACTGTTGGCACATGATGGCATAAATTATATTTCTGGATGAACAGGAATATGTGTTGTTGATCATATAACTGACATGGTTAGGTCCAGTGATGGTGTCACCAGAGTAAATACAAAATTGGCAATGGGATTTGTTGCAAGGGAAAGTTCCAGGGTTGGTATTAATGTGATATGTCCTGTGATTGTTGGTAAGAATCTTCCTGAGGTTAGGTCATTCTCCCTCTCCCTTACCCCACCTTCTGTCTAAATCTGATCTGTCAGTTTAATAATGTGTTCATTTTTTTCATTGTATTCCTTTGGTATATATGGTCATGCCAATTCTCTTCGGGTATGTCTACACTAGCCCCCTAGTTTGAACTAGAGAGGCTAATGTGGGCGACTGAAATTGCAAATGAAGTGCAGGATTTAAATATCCCGCGCTTCATTAGCATGTTCCCGGGCAGTCGCCATTTTGGAAATTGACTGGCCCAAAAGAACTGCCCGCGTCTACACACGACAGAGACGGACGATTCCGAAATAAACCCCTTATTTCGAATTACCAGTTAAACCATGGAATGAGGTTTCACTGGTAATTCAAAGTAAGGAGTTTATTTTGGAATCGCCCTTCTCTGTGACGTGTAGACGCGGGCAGTTCTTTTGGGCCAGTCAATTTCCAAAATGGCGACCACCCAGGAACATGCTAATGAAGCGCGGGATATTTAAATCCCACACTTCATTTGCAATTTCGGTCGCCTTCATTAGCCTCCCTATGTCGAACTAGGGGGCTAGTGTAGACATACCCTTCCAGAATATGATCTGAGGAAGTGGGTCTGGTCCACGAAAGCTCATCACCAATTAAACCATCTTGTTAGTCTTTAAAGTGCTACATAGTTTTTCCTTTTGTTTTAACAAAAGCTCATGACACTATCTATATTTGTGTTAGTCTTTAAGCTGCTACAGGACCACTCGCTTTTTAACTTTTTTTTTAAGTTACAGACTAACATGGCTACCCCTCTGACATTCCATATCTGTGTTATCACTATCTCCTGGCTTAGGCAGCTCTGATGTTTATGAAACAGGCATATAAAAATACTCACAGATCGATGGTTCTTGTAAAGATAACTGACAGGGTAAGAAGAATGCATCCAAATGGACCATTTTCAAACTGGAAAAAAATTGCACTATATTTACATTTGTTTATTGAATATGCTTTTTAGCCCTAGCATAAGGAGATGCACCTCCAACTGGGGTCAGTACGACTCATTCCTATTTATATTATTATCTGAATTTGGTCCTTCATCTTTTTTTCAAACATGGGGCATAGCAGTGTCAAATCCAAAATGTTGTTTATAAAGTTTTCTACTGAGATGTAAAATACTGAAATAAGTATCAGCAGAACCACGACAAGTATAATTTCATCTCTATTTCATACCTGATGAATATTCTGTTGAAGAAAAATGGTCAGATCTTCATACTTTGTGACACTATGTAGTATTAACTAGAATGAAATGTAAAACAATTCAATTAAAATAGAGAACAAAAATCTGGTATAAATAAAGCCTGAATTAAAGCAACCAAAATATGTATGTCTGGACAGTCTGGGTATGTCTACACTGCACACTTATTTCAGAATAAGCTATTCCAGAAGAAATACTCCAAAATAGCTTATTTCAAAATAGCATGTCTACACTACAGGGAAACCTCAAAAGTAGTCCAAGGCAAACTTCCTGAATGTGGACATGCTACTTCGATTTAGAGCCCCAGGAAGCACTGGAGAGTGATTACTTTGAATTGCCCTTAAGGAGGAGCTATTTTGAAATAGCAGCAGTGGAGCGTCCACACTACCACTGTTCCGAAATAGCTATTTCAGAAGACGCGTTATTTCTCATGGAATGAGGTTTACAGAATCTGGAATAAGTCGCCTGTTATTTCAAAATTATTTTGAAATAACTCTGCTGTGTAGACATACTCTTTCTGAGCTGGTGTAAATTGGATTAGATCCATTGAAGTCCACAATGTTCATTCACAATACTCACTTTTTCAGCAGTTTTACTAAAATGAGAGAAATAATGGGGAGGAATATCTGATGAGATATTATTTTATCTCTCTTGTCTTGCTCATATCCTGGAACCAACATAGCTAAAAGAACACATAAAAATAATGCATTTCAATCCTATTTTAGATACAAAATGTATATGATCTGAGAGCTTTCTTGAAAATACTAATTCCTAATATGTGAAATGTATTGCATAGAAGTTCATTATTAATGTAAGAAAAAACCTTGGAAGGAAGGGCAATTTTTGCAGACAGTTTAGGAATACCAAATCATTGGAAATTTGTAAGTGCAGGTTAAACAAACACACGTCAGGAATTCTCTAATGCTTTGTGTTGCCATGAGTGTAGGCAACTGCATTAGATGCCCTCAAGAGGTCCCTTTCTGTCCAATGATTCTATAATTTCAACAGTATCTGATTCTTCTTTATCCCAGATTTACACCCTTTGATTTTGAGGAGAATAATGGTCTTGTAGCCCAGACATGACGCTCACGATCAAGAGAGAGGGTTATATTTCTGGCTTTGCCATGGGCTTCTTGTGTGATTGTGAGAAAGCCCTTCTTCCCACTCCATCTCAGTTTGAAGGGATAAAAGTATTTCCCTAATTCACAAAGGTATTATTTACAAGGCTTAATTCATCATTGCTTGTAAAGCAAGTTGAGATCTTCTGAAGAAAACAAATGTGTAAGTAGAAAGTATAATGTTTACAATTTATTATTATGTATTAATCAGAAAAACAAATGGCAAGGAATATTGCAGGAGAGACAAGCAGGTAAAATGTAGGTTTCTTCCACTGACGCTCTCAATGTTGTGAGGAATTACAGAAGGACCCATGTCCAGATCTCTTGTACTAGAGGAAAAGCTGCTTTTGCTTGGGCCTTGGAGAGGAGAGGGACTAAAAGGAAAGGAAAAAGGAGGATGCCCGATTCTGAGTAGAGGCTGCAGCAATTTGTGAGCCAATTATGTCACTCCCTCCTTGATTTTATGCTTTGACACTGGAGCAAATCATAGTAATTACAGTGGTATCCATAGAATTAAATCTTGGTGAGAGAGGGGCGATTCAGGCCCATAGCCCTTATACAAGTGACGTCACTATATAGATATATATAAAATGTCACAGTAAGAGTATATATAAAATCTTACGGTTTCAAAGATTCCATCTGCTTTGTATTTTCCTACTGGAGTGAACTGCTGCCTTCCTGAACATCTAAAGAGAATAATTAAATGAATTAGCAGTGCACTTCAGAAGAACCAACAGTACAACAAAGAGAAATCCACCGGCTGTAATGAACTGGAAGACTAAACCAAAAAAAGTGGCATTAAATGAAAGACCTTTCACATGGAAAGTTAATGTTGAAAGAAAAATAAGCTTTTAACATTACTTTATCTTTGTTTTAATAGTGATTAGTATTGTTTATGATTAATCTGTTCATGCTCCTGAATCTACAAAGGAGAAATGTATAAATTTAAGGACTTACTGAAATTTTTCATTACAATAAAATATAAAGACAATACTAATATAACAGAAGTAGAACAGAATTGCAAAGTCATACATTAGTTAAAGAAATTAAAAATATAATTACAACAGTCAGTGAGCTTCTTTTGGAAAGTTGCTCTTCCAGATTAATATGAAGGAATTCTCAGCAAAGACTATACCATTGAATTCAATTGGGCCAGAATTTCACCCTAAGATTTCTCTATTAGGACAGGTAACTGCAATGAGTATGTACCCATTAGCAATAAGACTACACAGATACATACTGACCTTCATATATAGAAATCTTACATGATAATTTTAAAAAATGATACTCCCACTTACAGTGCAACCACAGCTTTTTCATTGCCTCCGGCACGCCATAAAATATCTGCAAAAGCCATGACGAGGCATTTGGTCCTATGAGCATCTGAAGGCTGCAGACACCTGTTGGTTTTGGGTATATGAGAAACAAGCAAAAATGGACACTGTTAGTGAGGCAGCCCTGAAAAGGTGAACAGCCTCCATTTCAGTGTGCACAGCTTGACAGCAGGTTTGGCACATACAAAGGACCAGATCCTCAAATGTATTTAGGCATCTTAATACTCATTGGAACCGATGAGAGTTATGCACTTGAATGAGAATCTGAGCCTAAATGATTGAAGTTGCCTCTTGTTGAATATTCTATCACCACTGTTGATAGAACATGCCAAAGCCACTGTACATGTTACACACTGACATCTTTAATTCCAGGGGTCTGATTTTAAAGAACTGCCTTTACTTTTTTTTCTTTTAACACAATTCACTTGTAAGGCAGGATTCACATAAATTAGCATGTGGAGGCTAGTGACGCAATGACTGAGCAAGGAAATCATGATAAAGGTTGTCAAACCTTAAATTCCTTAACTACTACTTTCCTTTATATATTAAATCATGAGCTGTAAGTGCAACACATTGCAGTTGTGTCGTACCTGTCACCAAAGCTCTTTACAAAAATTAAGTTGCTAAGTTTCACAATACCCCATGAGATAGGTAAGCAACATTATTCCAGTTATACAGATTAATTCAACTGAGGCACGGTGACGTTAAGCAATTATAGGACCAAAACAGCTTAGAGAGAGAAACTGGCAGATCTGAGATTAGATCCCAGCCCTCCTGATTCCTAGCCTCTTGCTCTACCCACTAGATTATACATCTTTCCACATGGGAAAATGAGAATTGTTCTTCACTAGTTTAATGAGTTCCTTGTTTGAGTCTTGACTTGTTTGAGTTTTAAACAATATCAGTCTTACAGCACTTACAAGCTCACAGATAAGGTCGAATAACATGTGCAGCACTTGAATTAAAAAATCTAATAATTCAAAACACTAAACATTGACCCTCAAAAATTAAATAACAGATTGTTATGCTCTACTTCTTCCTGGAATATAATGTTTAGTGAGGAAAAACTCTTCCTGCACTGACAGATGTGGAGCATCTGAACTAAAAGAAGAGGAAACTCAGCTTCAAAAATAAATGCCTCTAGTCTCCACATCTGTTCTTGTACTCTAATTGAGTTGTTCAGGTATTTGTAGGCAGTACCAAATTAAATTCTGTGAATGAGATAAATGAGCAAGAAAAAAATCTGTTCTTCACATGAAGAAATCTGAAGCCTAATGCTTAATGTGAAGCAACCAATACGATGGAAAACCAGGTACGATAGAAAAAAGATGCTAAATTACACAGCTCAACCATATAAACACTTGTCCTTTTCTGATTAAGAACCAGCTTCCACCCTGGGCAGATATATCCGAAGAAAAATATGCCTCTTCTGAATAAAACAACCCACCTTGCTATACAAGTTTTACATGCCTGAAGGCCCTTGTGTTAGTGCCCAGGAAGACAAAGAGTTTGCCTGTTAACCAGAATTCTTTTGGGAAATTTTGCATACTTCAATAGCCCTTCTCATAGACGAAATATGGAAAAAATAAAATATTTTTGAATTGTGAGGATGAGGAAAAAGAGAAGAAGAGAACAATGTCCAGATAAACAGGGCTGGGAGAAGTAACATTAAAGAAAAAAAATATATTTTAGGAATTTATATGGCCACCATCACTGTAATATTTGAGGATTTATGTGGCACCTTAAAGACATAGCCTACATCTAGACTGCATTGCTTTTCCTGGAGTCCGGTGGTATCATGGAAAAGCAATGCCATGTCCAAGGAACACATCCACTTTTCAAAAACAAATTTGAAAAAGCAGATGCGCTCTTTGCCATCCCTGTAAACCTTGTTCTACGAGGCATAAGGGATGTGTCAAAAGCGCACTTTTTCCCAAAAATTGGTGCCATGTTGTTGCATGTGATATGGAAATGATATGGATAATCAAGGATGTGTACTAGATAAGGAGTGTGCTTGAATACTTAATGTGCACAATCAGTGATTCAAAATGGAGTCTGAGGGCCTCCATGAAGCTGAAGGGAAGGGATGAAATCCAGTAAAATCTGGGTTTTCCCGCTCAAAGTGTTTTGCACTCATTACACATGGAGTTGCACTCATGTCTAAATTGTGCACCCAGCCCAAAATCTATGCACACAACCCGCTAGATCTATGCACTCATCACACTGGATCTATGCACACAGTACTAAATTGATGCACCCAGTTCGCAACTAGTTTTCCCGCATTGAAGGTAATAAAAGCTTCCTGTGAAGAGAGTGCATGTTGGCTCTTTGGATCTGGTCCAAGGGTGCGTTGCTGCCTCATTGCTGCCAGCTGCCTGTAGTGAAGGCTCAGGATAAGGACTTGGCATTTGAACAGACTGCAGCCTTCCTTTCATGTACCACCGTCTGGACTGCCCTCTGGTTTGCGTGATTATACCGAAGGGTTAATCATCTCCATTCCAAGGAGAAGCCACCAACTTATTGACTTTGGGCTCCCTCTCCATCCTGTGCCGAAGGCCTGGAATTGTGCTTCAAGGGATCTCCTCGTTGTTCATCCTCCGTGGCTTTCAATTAGCTGATGAGTTTAAGGTTACGAGCAACGTCATCGTTCCACAATCCCCTCCACTTACTGCGAGTGTGTAATGTATATTCCTACCTTGTTTTAGGGGCTTTCCTATCTTCTTTCTTTTCGAGTTAGGGTTGGATTGGGGTATTGGTTGTTGTAAATTTCATGCGTTGCTGTTTCAAAATTTACAATATATGGTTTGGCCTTAAATTGGAGTCTGAGTGTTATTTGTTTAAGGGTAAAATCACTGGTGATAGAGATACAGTAGGTCGTCAGCGGACCTAGCTTCTCGTTTCAGGGACGTTTAACATCTTTATTGGAAACAAACCCTACAATATTTCAAATGATTCTAAATTAATCTGTTGCAGAGATCCCTGTGCAACAATGTAGATGTGCCAAATTTCAGAAAAGCCTCTTTCAAAAGTAAATCAGAAAAAGATACACAATTCGTGTACCGCAAATTGTGTAACTTTTTCTGATTTAACTCTGCAGTCTAGATGTAGCCATAGTCTTTAAGCCCTGGTCTACACTAGAGAATTATTTTGAATAAGGATGTTAACTAGTGATTAATTTACTAGTCGATGGAATTTCCATTGACTACTCGACTAGTCGATAAGCACTTCCATAAGAATCTGCAAAGTCTACTTCTCATGCAAACAGTCATTTGTCCTTTTACATTATTCTGGCAGGAAAATGAAACTTAAAGCAGAAGTAAATTACATTTACTCACTTTAAGGCCCATTTATACTGCCAGGCTTTTTTCTACACTACAGGGGTTAAAGCACTGTCAGGCTACGTCTACACTGCAGGCTTTTGCCAGCAGAGAGTATGCTAATGAAGCACTCCTTAGCATTTTTCACGCTGTCATTTGCATATTCTCTGCCGATGCTTTTTGTGCGAGAGGTTTTGCGCAAAAACAAGCAATGTAGACAGGTCTGTTTTATGCAAAAACAAAAACTTTTTGCGCAAGATCCCTTATGCCTCAAAAAGAAGGTATACATGATCTTGAGAAAAGGGTTTTTTTTGCAGAAAAGAAGGTATACATGATCTTGAGAAAAGGTTTTTTTTTTGCAGAACACGGACCTGTCTACACTGCTTTTTTTGTGCAAAAACCTCTTCCACAAAATGGATTGGAAGATATCATGCAAATGAAGCACGAGAAAATGCTAATGAGTGCTTCATTTGCATTGCCTCTTCCGCAAAAAAAACATAGTGTAGACTTAGCCCCAGAGAGAAAACCTAGAGCCACTGAAGGCAATAGGGTGAGATTTTACTCCACAGGTAAATAATTGGGCTTAGGGACAGATTTAAAAGTTATTTAGGAGCCTAAAGATGTATATTGTCACAGAAGCATTTTAAAAAGTGCTAGGTATAGAAATCCCAATGAAATGAAAGGAAATTAGGTGCCTATGTGTGTTTGAAAATTCCACTAGGATAAAACCCACAGTGAATAATATTTGTCTCTTTTGCACAAACACCACGAATGCTGAGTTTATCAGAACATAAGTAATTTTCCTTGATGCTATGAATATCTTGTCATTTTTCTGTAAAGAAATTAAAAGGCGTGCACAGTTTAAAAATCCCATTAGGGGCTTTAACTGTGTAACGTCATCAAGGAAAAGAACTGTGTAACTAACTTTTTGCAAGTTCATTGAGATTCTCTTGCCATGCAAAGGATGATCTTACAATACTTGATTTCATTCTCTTTGAAATCCCTGCTTCACCATGGGACTTTGCAGGTTTGTTAACTGATGTTGGCCATAATTCAAGGTTTTTTTTTTAATGTTCTTGGTTAATCACAAGAAATTAGTATGTTAATGAAAAGCGAGCCTTTTAAATCCACTGTTAAAAGGCAACTTCTGTTAGCCTCAAAAAGCATAACTTCATGAGATGAGACTTTCTGTCTTTTGAATCCAAATACATAGTGAACAGGGTCAAACTCAGAAAGGCTTCTTTCTGGCTACTAAGATAAAGTTGTAGTTTGATTTAGAATGGAAAATATTTCTGGTGTCAGCTGCTGACTTACCACACATCGCTATTTCTGTTTCTGTCTCCAAAGAGAAGTTGCTGTAGGACACAAGCTTGAACGGCTGCCAATACTCCACATGGGCCTCCCTACAGTGAATAATACACTGGATGAACAAAACAACTAGCACCGTTTGATGCTGGTGAGAACTTTTCACAACCCATGTGTTCTCATTCAAGTTTAAGCCAACCTTTGATCTATCTGTTTTGCTTACTGAATGTGCAGTGTTATGCGGCTTTTTCAAGCAACTGAAAAGTCAGCATTACTAATGGGGGTTCTGTCTCCTCTGTGTTCTGTCTGGAAGTGCCTAGAACATACCGTACAGACATCTATGATGTCAAAGGAAGTTTTATCTCCTCCTCCATCAAGCAAAAATATTCCTCCTAGCGCCCCTTGAACATGCACCTAGCCTGAAGATGAAAAAAATGGTTTACATTCCTACTGGGTGAAATTTACAAAGCCCTGCCCCCACGCATACAGCCCATGATTGAATTAAGTCCTCACTCAGACCTTCAAAATAGGGTTTCAGAGGTGTATATGTCTGCACAACAAGAATTTCACCCACAGCGAATAACAGAGAGAGAAGGACTTGTGTGCTAAATGGTCTTCATTCAGCCAGTATCACAAGAAGATGAAAAGCCCCTTTCTCTGTTATTGTTTTGATGTCCAGGATCATATTTAAATATATGAGCCAAACCTTTGCTTATTTATGCATTAACGTGATCTGCCATCTTGGAGCATTATCAAAACAGGTCAGCTGCATGACTCCTTAAATATGAAAGGGGCTTGAATCCCCTTTTCTGTCCATGCGCTAGAGTATGTCTACACTACAGAGTTTTGTCGGAAAAACGGTCCAAAACTTGAGGAACGTCCACACTGCAATTGCATTCTTCCACAAGAAAATTGAAAGAATAGAGGCGTTTTTCCGGCATTGATAATCCTCATTCTACAAGGAAGAAGCCGTTTTTTGAAAGAGCTCTTTCACAAAAAGGTGCGTGTGGACGGGGAGGAGGGAGTTCTTTTGGAAGAAGAGGAAAGACGAAAAAGCGCAGGTGCCCAGATGGCCATTTCGTCCATAGCAATCACAGCTTAAATGAGAGAGAGTGTCCATTCAGTCTGGATGCTCTCTTTCAATAAAGCAAATCGCTTCTTCAATGCACTTTTGCAGCGTGGATGCTCTCTTTCGGAAGAAGTTTTTTCGGAAGATATCTTCTGAAAAAAGTTTCTTCCAAAAGAAACTTGTAGTCTAGACGTAGCCTAGCTATAGACACAAGCTCCTATGTTGAAGGGCTCCAGGTATGTTATTTGTATTTAGTTAGCAATTTCATTTTGTTGCTTGGCATAGGTATGTACAGCGCCTAGCACAATAGGGCCCCAACCTCTGTATGGGGCCTGTAGGTGCTCCCACAATATGAATAATAGATAATAAATTCATTTAATCCTGAACAAATATTCAGCAGAAAAATCATTTTTTCTTCTCTCTCTCAATAAACCATTTACATAATTAAAGATTATTAGAAAAACTGACCCATGGAAAAAGCAGGGTCCAGTCTGGGTTTTTTTCCAGTCTGTTAAGGAATGTTCTTAATATTAAAAGTTTAGATGCAACAGTTTAATATCACTTCAAACCACTAAGTTTTAACAACTGGAGTGAAACACACAAATACTGGAAAGCATCACTACACAATCAGTTAACTGACTTGAATTTAGAAAGTGAAGAGAAAAATACAGCAGCCATTTTGAAATTTCCCAATGGGATCAGAATACCAGGACTTACTCCTCTTCTCTTGGTCTCCACAAGAATTAAAGAGACCAAAGATATTTTAAATCTCATCTGGATAATGCCATCTTTTATAGCAAAGGGTTTCCTAAAATATTTCTAGAGCACTGGTCCAGGATTGACTTAAAAGAGTAGACGTCACCTACAGATTCCATAAGATTTCCTGGAGCAGCCTGCATTTTTTTCTGACATTTTCCTTCTGGCCCAACTTTCCTTACAAGATTTAACTATTTTGCAGATTTCTGTAGTAAAATTATATTCATGAACCAGTAAGGTAAAAGTAAAAAGGAATATCTGTTAAAGAAAGTTAGTTTCTTTTATTAAGGTAATACACAACTTCTGGAAACTGTAGTTTAAAGGCAAAGATCATTGGGCTTTTAAGGAAGTAATTTACTGTACCTTTTTTTGCACCATGCCGTATTTTAGCTGTGGTATACTATTAAAAGTAAAGTTCTGTATTTTCCATTCTTCACTGAAGCAACAAAGGCTCGAGCCAAACAAAAGATTTTTTATTTCCTAAAAAAAAAGGGGGGGTTGAAAGCTCTCATTTTATAAACGAATTCGAAACATAGGTATATTTTCTTTCCAGAATTTAAAATCAGAAAGGAGACGTGGCAGGATAATGACAAACTCTATATATCCACCCTTTTAATTTCTGTTTTATAAATACTGCAAATAGCAGGGCACTTCCACTCAAAAGGAGTCATTTTTTCCTTTTCCTGCAATGTTCCTTCAGCACATTATGTTCCTTCAGTGCATAATGCTATGTGTTGCTCAGCATTATGAGCTTTTTTTTTGTACATAATTGGATGAAATGTGCTTCTTGAAAGGTTCATAGAAGACAGCCTCAAACTTATGTATCAGATCAATAGTTTGTACTACTGACTGATGAGTTTTCTGTTTCCCACACACCAGTAAAAGGTATTTTCCAATGGGATAAAATATAAGCTGTAAAAGAAGGACCTTTGCTGGCATATCATGTAGAACAGACAGTCTGTTTTACCTATCAAAGGTGATGATTATGAGACAGTTGCTATTCAAAGTTTTGAATAATACTAGTATTAGGGCACGCAACCAACTGTCAAATTCAGACTGTTGACCCCAGTCAGGAACAGATTAATTAAAGTTAATGGAGTTATGCTAATCAGACTCCTTCAGTGCTTGTGTTTGGATACTTAATCGGATTACTCTGGTCTAGAAATCAGGTTGGGAATCATGAGCTTTGTGGTATATTACAGTTCTGGCTGAGTGGGAAGCACTATGAAAATAGCCCTTGACATGGGTATTTAGATACTCCTACCTGAAAGGGAGCACTAGGGAATGAAATTAATCAAATAACTGGATACATCTGAAAGGTTTGATTTGGAGGTAAGTAAACATGTAGGGTGTGTCTAGACTACATGCCTCCGGGAATCATGAGCTTTGTGGTATATTACAGTTCTGGCTGAGTGGGAAGCACTATGAAAATAGCCCTTGACATGGGTATTTAGATACTCCTACCTGAAAGGGAGCACTAGGGAATGAAATTAATCAAATAACTGGATACATCTGAAAGGTTTGATTTGGAGGTAAGTAAACATGTAGGGTGTGTCTAGACTACATGCCTCCATCGACAGAGGCATGTAGATTAGCCAGATCGGCAGAGGGAAATGAAGCCGCGATTAAAATAATCGCGGCTTCATTTAAATTTAAATGGCTGCCCCGCTCTGCCGATCAGCTGTTTGTCGGCAGATCGGGGCAGTCTGGACGCGATGCGCCGACAAAGAAGCCTTTCTTGATCGGCACAGGTAAACCTGGTTTCACGAGGCATACCTGTGCCGATCAAGAAAGGCTTCTTTGTCGGTGCGTCGCGTCCAGACTGCCCCGATCTGCCGACAAACAGCTGATCGGCAGAGCGGGGCAGCCATTTAAATTTAAATGAAGCCACGATTATTTTAATTTCCCTCTGCTTCATTTCCCTCTGCCGATCTGGCTAATCTACATGCCTCCGTCAACGGAGGCATGTAGTCTAGACGTACCCGTAAATATATTTCAGTTAGGATGCATCTAAACAGCAGAGCTTAACTTGAAATCAGCTACACAAATTGAGCTACGTCAATTGCGTAGCTTATTTTGAAATTGGGCACATTTACACAGCACTTATTTCAAAATAGAGCACTCTTCCTCTGACTTGCCTTATTCCTCACACAATCAGGGTTACAGGAGTCGGAGTAAGAAGTCCTCTAGCTTGACAGCATTTTGAAATAACTGCCGGCTGTGTAGACGCAGACTAAGTTATTTCAAAATAATGCTAGTGTAGATGTACCCTTAAGCTACGTCTACATTGGCAAGATTTTGTGCAAATACTTTTAACGCAAGAGTTTTTGCGTTAAAGTATTTGCACAAAAGAGCGTCTTCACTGGCATGTGCTTTTGCGAAAGAGATGTGCTTTTGCGCAAAAGTATCCATGCCAGTGTAGACGCTCTCTTGCGCAAGAAAGCTCCGATGGCCATTTTAGCCACCGGGCTTTCTTGCGCAAGAAATTTAAGTTGCCTGTCTACACTGGCCTCTTGCACAAGAACAGTTGCGCAAGAGGGCTTTTTCCTGAGTGGGAGCAGCATAGTTCTTGTGCAAGAAGCACTGATTTCACACATTAGAACGTCAGTGTTCTTGCGCAAGAACTCCGTGCCCAGACAGGTAGCATGCCAATGTAGACACAGCCTTAGAGAAAGAAGTGAAAGGACAGATTAATTCTTATTTTGTCCAAACCAGTTGTCACAACCCAAGTTGCTAATGAATAAGTCCACTTCTTTCCATTCATAAACATGCAATGCCAATGCACCAAACACTTGATTCATCTTGAACTGAAGTCAGACAATTAGGAGTCTTTCCATTGACTTCAATGGCACTGAATAAGGCTCTGAGTGATGTTGGGAAAATATATACTTTTTACTTTTATACTTATTTGTGAGGTTTCTCAGTTCTAAGCATATTCTATGAAATAATAACAAAATAATAATATCTTACATCTATAGAGTGCACTTCATCCAAGAATTCTGAAACACTCTACCGAAAATAACAGATGAATGAAACCTCAAAATATAATGGTGAGGAGGGTAAATATAATTATTAGCATTTTACAAAAGTATAAAATGAAGGATGGAAAAGTGAGTTTCCCAAGATCACACAAGTCAGTGGAATGTCAGTGAGAGACCTTAGTAGCCCTCCCTCCTCTTTCTAGCCCCCCTTCCTCAAATACTGCTTTTGAAACAACTGATTAAAAACAACACATCAAAGATGCACACAACTGTCTGGAACCATTAACAAAGGAATGTAAAATGCAATTGCATAGTGATTGTTAGGATTTCATGGATTCCCAATCATACATGCACTAAATGTAAAACCCATTGCAACTTTGGCTTACTCAATAGAAATAACATGTTTTCACGTATCATTCTTTGTTTATCATCATATATTTGACTTACTTTTGCTAGGGAAATATCAATTGCCTTTGATATTACTTCAGGTGTATCCCGTGTTGAAAGCTCTGGGATCCTATTAAGTTCTCCAATCATTGCTTCATCATCAAAATCAACTGAAAGAGAAGAAATCTTTTAATATGTAGAATATTATCTGGTGAACCAAATTCTGTCCTCCAGTATCCCCATGCCACCTACTGCTACTGATTTATCATCATGACTGATACAACTTTAATTGCTCTGATCTTTACAAGTTACAAGTAGGATTCTACTCTGAAAAGTGATGATACAAATTAGATCATGAGAGCCACTGTTTGTTATGTCCCAACTAGGGGGCCGTGCCTCCTGCTCGCTACCTCACCAACCCCCCTCCCTCCGGCCACTATGCCCTGGCTTGGGGACTCTGCAGCAGGATCTTGGGCAGTGTTGACCAGTGTGGCCGATAGCCTGGGACAGGCAGTGGTAGCAGTTCCCCACTGGGTCGTGGGGCAGCAATGCCGGGGACCTGGAAGTAGAAACAGGGCCAGAGGTGACTGGATGAGAAGCAGCAGGGATGGGGGATCAGCAGAGCTCACTGAGCGCCCTGTAGCTTTTCCCCACCAAGGACCCAGGACCTGGGGCTGGAGGTGGCCAGGCTACAGGAGCCAGAGCCTGGCAGCAGGTGGTGGAGCAGGGAGCTGGAGCCCTGGGGCTCCTAGACCACAGCGAAGAGCTGCTGCTGCCCTCTGACCCTCCTGCAGGAGAGCTGGGAGCCAGTGGGGAGTCCAGGGCATCCCCCGAGGAGAGGTTGGGAGAATGACTGGACTGGACTAGGCTGAGGCTCCTGCCTGCCAGAGCCCCTGGGGCCCTGCCCCTACGTCGCACCCATGCCCAGCCTCAGCCTTGTTCCTAGCTCCAGGGGGAAGGGGAGAAATCATCCCATTTCCAGCAGTGAAAGGTTCCCATTCTGCCCCAAGCCATCAAGACTGCTCCCCCTTCTCACTCTGCCGAGGCTGATGACATGATCACATCATTCTGTCATCTGGGACAGTTCTTTAGAGAGGACATGATCACATCATTCTGTCATCTGGAAGGACAGTTCTTTAGAGAGAGAGAGAGAGAGAGAGAGAGAGAGAGAGAGTGTGTGTGTGTGTGTGTGTGTGTGTGTTTAAATGTCCTAACTGCTTAGTTCCACTTTCTTGGCCTACCATCTAAAAGTTGACCTGGGACGGGAGTAAGTAAGCACACAGTCTCATCTGGGAAATGAAAACACAAACTGTAAGGAACTTGACTTGATCAAAAACGAACCATGTGAGACGAAGACCAAAACAAAGCATGATGTGACATACCTAGTTCTAGGACACCTTTCTTCTGGTCACTTTTATTCGATATTGATGATGGAGTCTTTCTAGATTAAAACATTATCGAAGGTTCACATTTAATGAAACAGAAGATCAAGCTAAGCAATGTAGAAGCAATCAAACCTTATTAAGGCAAAATCAATGTTTTCAAAGAAGTAGCTGGCAACCTATATGGCAGAGGGGGCAAACTACAATCCATGAGCCACCTCTAGCCCTTTGGACCCTTCAGTCCAATCCCTGAGTTCCCGCCGGGTAGCGGGACTGGGACAGTCTTGCCCAGAGGCAGTGTGAGAAGCAAAGGAGGTTATCCCCCAGCCCTTTCCCACAGCCTCAGCTACCCCAGCACCAGGACAGCCTGATTACCACACCACCAGCCCCGATGCTCCTGGTGGCATGGCTACAGCATTGCTAGCCCCAGTGTTCCAGCCAGCACAGTCAAGAGACAAGGAGCAGGAGATGTTGCAGAGAGGGCAGGGGACACGGCCTCTTCCAGTCTTCCCCACATGGCCCTCCACACAATTTCCGTACCCGATGTGATCCTCGGGCCAAAAAGTTTGCTGTATGGTGTATACATGATCACTAAAGCTGGAATAGCAGTCTGCACATTACAACAAAATGCAGTCAATTTGTGTCATGTGGCTCAGATTCTGCAAGTGCATATGCATGGGCAGGATTGTACTCCCTCACGGAGTCGCATCTGACATTTGGGGGAGCTCTGCATGAATTCTGTGTTCAGGTACCCACAGCTGAGCTTGCAGTAGTGGAATCCATGGCATGCAATTCACTTTTGCATGAGACTACGGACCATGTAAATCCAATTTAAACCTTTAACACACAATTGAAGTGGGTTCTAAGTTGTGCTGGCTCCCATACTGGCCTTATTAGTAAATTGCATCATCAACAAGTTAAATGTTTATAGAAATAAGTAAGTAATGATAAAGACTAATTTTGTCAGATTTGAAGTTAGACATGTAAATACACAACCAGATTTTTAGAGGTAGCACGGGCTTTGAGCTACCACAAATTCATACAAAAATTAACACAGCCAAAGGAAAAGTTTCCTACAGTCACTGGTAAAGGGCATTTTTTTTTTCAAAATAATAACACTAAATCATTTTTCATCCATCTTTTGTTTGGAAAACTGTGCTGCAAATGACAATCCTTTCAAGAACTGTACGGAATTATTTGCTCAGAAACCCTCTTTGTAGGCACATTATTATTATAGCAACAGTTGCTGCCTTATCACATACTTTCCATTAACTTAATTTCCTTTTTTCACTGTGTGAAAGTAGATGAATGGAAGCAGAGCACACAGACACGCCACACTGAGGACTTTTCCAGTCTGAAAACTTTTTGGCATCTTTTCCCCTTACGAGTTTTTCTAGAACATAAAAGTAGGAACTACCATGCTGTTTTTCTCCATAAAAGCATTACTGGCTTGATTCAACTAAATGTGGCGGCATGCACTGAACCACAACAAACAGACACTCGACAGTTGGAAATGCATCACTCGTAGTATTAGTAAGTCAAGGTAAAAGAAATATATTTGGATTAATGTGTCTGAGATCAGTCCTGAGATCTAAGTAGGTAAGCTGAGAAGAAACATGCACAGCAACATAATGAAAGGTTCTGAGCTACAATGGAAAACAGCAATACCTTTTACTACATGGAATTTTAAAATACAGTTGATAGTAGTAATAGTATTTTATTACACTTCTTACTGTAGCACTTAGAAGTCATCATCATGGAACAGAACCCCACTGTGCCGGGTGTTTGGTAGAAACAGAACACCACCACAAACCCTACCTCAATGAGATTACAATCAGAGAATACGACAAGAGATCCCAGATGGATACAGAAGGGCAGGGGAGTACAAAGAACCAATGAAACAGTATGGCTACGTCTAGAGTGGCATGATTTTCCGCAAATGCTTTTAACGGAAAAGTTTTTCTGTTAAAAGCATTTGCGGAAAAGAGCGTCTAGATTGGCATGGACGCTTTTCCGCAAAAACACTTTTTGTGGAAAAGCGTCCATGTCAATCTAGACGCGGTTTTGCGCAAGAAAGCCTCGATCGCCATTTTCGCCATCGGGGCTTTTTTGCGCAAAACAGTTTTCAGCTGTCTACACTGGCCCTCTTGCGCAAAAACATTTCCAGAAAAGGGCTTTTGCCTGAACGGGAGCAGCACAGTATTTGCGCAAGAAGCACTGATTTCAGACAGTAGAAAGTCAGTGCTTTTGTGAAAAATCAAGCCGCCAGTGTAGACAGCTGGCAAGTTTTTCCGCAAAAGCGACTGCATTTGCAGAAAAACTTGCCAGTCTAGACACAGCCTATTGGTAATCAGGACACACAACAGTCCCAGCCACCAGCAGACTAACTGTTGTCAAATAAATCACAGAAAGTTTTAACAGATTTGACTAATATTGGTTTTCATCATTCTTTTCAGTACAGTGTTAATTTTGCTGTAACTTGCTAATATTTTCATACTTACTGGTCTGACGGAGGACCCCAATAAAATGGATGTTTGTACATAGATTGTGTTTCAACTGAATACTGAATATTGCGCTACACTTACTGTTTGTACATAGATTGTGTTTCAACTGAATACTGAAGTCACCGCGCTACACTTAGAGCAATAACATGGTTTTATTTTCTTATTTCTGAGATTGCAGACTATTCCGTCTGGCTTCCTAGAATAAGAATGTGAGGTTTTTTTTCAGAGTAACCCCTTTGGGGCCAGTCTTAGATTTGCAATAACTCAGAAAGCTTAGATTGCAGTACACATAGGATTTAGCTAGAAAGGAAAGTGACAACAGACATAATTTATTAAAATTTTCGGAGAACAAATCATTGTTCCCATCTACAGCAGCATTGCTTATGCTGAAAAGAGTGTGAAAGTCACCAAAAAAGCAACTCACCCTCTTCTACATTACATTGGACTCCACCAGGCCCAAGATTTGATCATGAATTCTACCACAAAGACATATTACAGAGATTACACACTAGGCTTGGTTGCAGAATATGACTACCAAATGCAGTCTGGAATGAAGGATAGCATATACCAGCCATGTTCTTTTCCCCCTTTAGATGGAGCTTATCATTCATCCTTGCATTAGCATGTACATCTCTGCCTCTCTCTACATAGTTTTTATGGGCCCCATAACCATAGTATCTAAACACCTCACAAACTATAGTGAATTTAGCTTCTTTAACTAAGATATGAAAGTTTCCAAGTACTCTAAGATATGAAAGTATTATTATCCCTATTTTTATAGATGGGAAACTATAGCACAGAAAAGTTAAGAGACTTGTCCAAGGCCGCACAAGATGTGAGTTACAGCACTAGGAAATGAGCCCACATCTCCACTCAGTGTCTAAGAACAGGACCATCTTTCCATCTAGGCTCTTATAACATATCCAGTTACCTCAGTGTCTGACTGCCTTTTGAAGCAGAAAGGAATGGAAACAGGTTAAATTAATATTCTGGCTATTTCATCTCTATAACTTCCCTTCTCACAAAAAAAATCCTCAACCTGAAATCAATTGCAAATGAAAAAAAAACCACACACATTCTTTTGGTATACTGCCTACTACAGCTTTCTGCAAAACCCTAGGGATCCAGACTCTAGTTCCACCACTGAAAGAACCAAGTCTAAACAGATGATTTCAGAGATCTTCCAAGACATATATCATAGAGGAAAACACCAAAAGCAAAGATCCACATTGTATGTTATCCTTTGCAGAAGGGTATTTTTGTAGATGGAGTTTATCCATGCGCTCCCTTGTGAAGTTGCTTAAAACATCGTTTGAACTTTTACTGCTATTTTCACTTCAACAGATGGCTACTATTCAAGGAATATTTATTGGGCATACAAATTCATGCAATTAAAGCAATTTGCAAGGAGGAAGTCATTTATCGTGTCAGAAAAATAGGGCAGGAAAAAATATATTTTATTATAAATATACCATACTGTACTTTCTCCAAATATTTGAACATTCCTATCTCATCTCCATGCATAGAAAATGTTGTTTACATAGAATAAAATTCTTCCCTTTGCACAAAACTGCATGTGTTTTCTATGGTTTCCTATTTACATTAACCTACACCGCAGGTCAAACAAACAAAAATGCTTATAGAATAAGCAGTGGCCATCAGCTACTTGTGAGTAACCGACTGGGCTTGAAAATCATGGTTTCTTTGTCAATGTACTATACCCCAAAGTTCTCACTTGGAACTTACATCTTGCCTCTGAAATAATTTAGTGATTCTGACTAATTAGTATATGTTCTTAAATAATCTTAGTGTTGTCTTGCTTTCTATCATTCTGTTGCTGTACACTTAGTAGAAGTATATGGCCCTTATTCCATTTCTGTGATACTGGAGACTGTACCACTTATGGCTAGCCTGCCTTGACTATATTCACTTCCTTGCCTTCTTTATATTTAGGGGCTTTCATTATATTCAGCTATAACACAAGAAACCTACAGTATCCTGTGTCCTATAAGACATAAGATGGAAGCATAAGTTAACATAAGTGTGACTAAATAGGTCATAGCCAAAGGTATAGATCAATGGTTACCTTTAGATGTTAGGGTATATCTACACAGCAAAGTTATTTTGAAATAACAGCCCTTATTTCGAAATAGCTTTCCTAGTGTCTACACAGCCAAACTGCTATTTCAAAAAAAATTCAAAATAGCAGAGCGCTTATTTCGAATTTGGTAAACCTCATTCTACGAAGAATAACACCAAATTTGAAATAGCTATTTCTAAATAAGTACTGTGTAGACACTTATTTCAAAATAGGGGGCCTCCAGCCTTCCCAGGGTGCCCTGGCGGACATTGCAGCCTCAAGCAAGAACACTTCTCTCCCTCCCCCCTCCCCGGAGCCTTTAAAGGGGTAGATTCTGGCCACAGTGCCTGTGCCAGCTTCAAGCCTTCCAGCCCAGAGCCAGCAGTCCGTGCACCTGACCCAGTGGCCCCAAAACATGAGCCAGCAAGCCACTGGCAGCCAGCCCTCCACTGCTCCCCAGGAGCAGTCTGCCAGC